GAAACTGCATTAAATTGCAGGACGCCTCGATCATGATTATGATACACATCATAACAGTGGCGCCGTCACTCATAATAATGGGATTACAATCATAACAAAGTGTGATTTGTGTTTCCTTTGCTTTGTTATGTGTATTGATTTACGAGAAAGTAACAGATTTTTATTAAGTTTTATAGCTTATAATGATTGTTTCGGTAAATTACCATCATCATCATAGTCATCATTTCAGCCACAGTAGGACGTCCACTGAACATAGGCCTCCCCCAATGACTTCCACATCGCACGGTTGATAGCGGCCTGTATCCAGCGCATTCCTGCTACCTTTATCAGGTCGTCGGTCCACCTTGTGAGTTAATGTCCCACGCTAAATTACCGTCGTAGATATTAAAATTAGTTTAATATTATACTATCACCTCAAAGGCCGTACTTAATCCTAAAAAAGCACTTCATTCTTCTAGCCCTGAAAACGATATCTTTTTGGCTTAAATGAAGTGTCTTATTAAAAAAGTTGTATCTTAAAATACTTAGTTAATATTGCCAACCACCAATTCTGGGTCTTTGTAGTAGGTAAATACTTCAAACGATTCCATTTCACCAAATATCAAAAAAGTAAAAAAATCACGAACGACTATGAACGTAAATTGCGGGTACATTCACGAGTCCTCTCACAACGCTCTCCTCCCAGTGCTATTTATATCAACCATCGATCCGTCTGCATTCTGCATCCACATTTCGTATGCATGGAGCTCTGCAGGTCTTTGATATTTTACTGTCTCAAGCGCCTAACGCATTTCATTCGGGAAATTCGGCATTCGTTTCAGAGCGTGCGAAACGGCCGAAATTGCTCAGAAAGTGAAGTTAATTTATGAAAAAGCATAGATTTTAAATTAAAAAATCAAGTATAGTCTTAATCCCAACTAATATTATAAATGCGAAAGTAACTCTGTCTGTCTGTCTGTCTGTCTGTCTGTCTGTCTGTCTGTCTGTCTGTTACGCTTTCCCGCTTAAACCTCGCAACCGATTTTGATGAAATTTGGCATAGAGATAGTTTGAGTCCCGGGAAAGAACATAGGATAGTTTTTATCCCGGTTTTTGAAACAGGGACGCGCGCGATAAAGTTTTTCTGTGACAGACAAAATTCCATGCGGGCGAAGCCGCGGGCGGAAAGCTAGTTATTCAAATAAACTATACCTAAGTATAACCTATCGCATTTAATATATTTTGTGTTAAACGCTTCTAACGTATCCTGTTGAGGCCTTTATATTATGCCAAGGATTTATAAATTGCCATCCGGGCACTCAGCGATTAAAAAGGCATTTTTTTTAAATTAATTGTAATGGTGAACACGGTAAAAAACCAAAGAAACTCTTAAAAATAAAAAGTTATTGTTTACTGTCTCGCGCATTCCCATCTAAATCGTTCCCAGTCTCAATTTGTCAACTGGGAAACTTGGCTTGTCCTTTTAGAAAGTGTTTACAGAGTTTAAAAGAAGTTTCCATTTGATTCAGTTACGACTTAATGCGTCTGGATTGAATTTACACAAGCTTAGACAAAACGCTTTAAGCATTTTAAATTAATTACCGGCGGCTTTGTTAATGGAAAGAAGTTATTGGCTAATTGTTTCCAAATATAAGACTTTACCAATAAGTTTTCAACTGGAATTACTGTTTTGACGTTTTATCAGACTATACTTTGTAATATTAATTCAAAATTATTTTGCAACCGAAATAACATTTATTGCAACAATGTAAGACATCATAGTTTTCGGTTTGATGTACCGTCATGTATAGTTTTATTTTATTTTATTTATTAGGACAACCAACAAGACAAACACGCATACATGGAATTACTATAACAAAAGTGCTTAGAACTAAGTGTTGTTTTCAAATAGTGAAAGAAATTTCAACTTATCTAGACGCATCAGTTTAGCAAAAAAGATAATGTTGATTCCAGTTCCAACATCTTCTTTTTCAATAACACTCATTACTAGGTACTAACAACGATTTATGAAATCTTAAAATCTCGCTGAGACCATTTTGAGAAATCAAGACATCTACGAGTATTTTGTGTCATGAATAACAATGGAATACCAAATCCAGGTCGTCCTTAAAAATTCCATTCCAGTTTAATATCGCTGAAATCTATCTAGAAGCTGTCGTTGCAACATGCAGTTTATAGGGCTGTCCTGCGCCCGTTTCTACAAATATCCAAATATGAACAATACAGAGTTTTGAGTTTTGGAAACGATATCGCCAGTATACAAGTGTCAAGTCAATAATACATGATGAACATTCCCGTATATACTGGATAGTGCAGCCCAAATCTTAAGGTAAAGAGGGACGTACTCCTGCAGTGGAGACTAGATGACCTGATGATGAATTTGTCCCTGATCTCTACAGTAGTACTTGTGGTAGTGCTGATAAATCTATAATATAAAAATGAATCGCAAAATGTGTTGGTAAGCGCATAACTCAACAACGCCTGGACCAATTTTACCAATTCTTTTTTTAAAATGTTTGTTGAAGTCCAAGGATGGTTTTTACAGCGAGAAAAGTTTGAATAATTTCCGGGTAAACCCTAAAAAACTCGAAACTTCACCCCTAAGGGTAAAACGGGGTCCACGCGTACGAAGTCGCGGGCGGCCGCTAGTGATAAATAAAAAGCATTCGTTTCAGCCAAATGACTTCCACGGCTGGACAAAGGCCTCTCTCAATGATTTCCACAACGCTGCCTACGTCCATGAAAAGCGTACAGAATTATATCCCGAAGCAATTCCAATGTAGTTTCCAAAATAAAGAGTTCACCAAAATGCACAACGGGAAATGGTAGGCACGAGTAAATATGCATAAGTCACCAGCGAGCTGGACAAAGCGAACAAAACGCTTCGGGCTAGCTGACCGGTGCCTGAAAATGCGGAATATTTACTTTATAACATGCAGATTTTAAAGTTTCGGACATTGGCCATAGAGTAAACAATTGTTCAGAAACTACACTCTGTTATTATTTTTTATAATAAACTTTTCAAATGTGCGCGGTGGTGGACTATAAAGTTCGATATGATAAGACTAAAAAGCCCAGGTTTTTCATACAGGAGAGTTTTTGGATAGGAGGAGAAGCTATTTAGCTTCAACTTCCAGTTCCTTTAATAGTATGTAGGCGGCATTTTGCATGGCGTTTATACACATCCTACCTAATAGAGCTTGCCCTATCAGCTATACATTTTGCCTTTTGAAGCCTTCTGTATTGAGCCGGCTCAATATTAGAAAACGTTAATGTTTCAATAGACCCATTAAGGAAAGAGGCACTAAATTTTTTTGAATAGTCTTCCAATATAAAAGTCTCGACAACAGCCCGGCATCTACAATGCTCAGCAAGACTCACAATATTTACAACTAGATTCGAAATCTCCACCCAACAAACATTCGTCTTTTCAGTCCAAAGTCAAACACTAGCGATGGTCACGAAAAAGTAAACAACACGAAGGAGCCAGCTGACCGGCTGAAAATGCCGAAATATTACTTTAACCCGTCTACAGAAAAATATTCTTCATCCTGAACCTTATTCCATCTGAATACAGTCCAAAATACGTTTGCAACAACTTATCCAAGCCGGCCAGAGGGTTTTGATAGAGGGGTTACAGTCAAACTTTTGTGTGGCCGCTGGATTTAACTACTCCAAGTGTGGACAGGTGGAAACGTCGGCCACTTTTTCACTTTTGTTTTGTTTGAATGCTCTGTGGCTGTTTACTCTTTGCTAAGTACGGTTGATAGGGGCGTTAAGCAATTAATCATGCTTGCATGAGAAATCATTTCAGTATAGTTGGTATTTTCAATTTAAAAACCTTCTTACTTAGAGAAATAATCTTAAAATAATGAGAAAGAAAATCCGGCTAGTCTGTCGCGCATCGTCCTGTTTGTAGATATTTTCCACACAGAAATCCCACGTTCGTTTTTTTCTTTCTTAGCTATTTAACTTTCTATTTTAGTACTATCTAGTCCAAGGATTTCTGTATCAAGTAGCTCTCTTCACCACAGACTCTGATCTATTCATCTCCTATCCAATGCTTTATACAGCGACAAAATCCGATCAACATATTTATCTTGTCTCTGTCAGTGGACTCATAAATCACAGTATTACTTATTCCAATGTCCTGTTTGCGGGTACAAATCTGACACGTCTGGCCGCCACGGGATCACCGTAATTGGTCCATCGATCATGCGGTTGGATGTGAAGTTTGAATTACGGAAGCTTATGTAGGTAATTACAAAACAACAGTTATAGTCCAGTCAATGAATGCTTTAACGACGGTGTAGAGAGAAATCCCTGGAACACAATTTCTGACCTCGGGACTTTATTTAGACTAGTTAGGAGGTGAACATAGTAAAAGTCCCCGCCCTTAGCCCTTGAGCCGGCGGGGAGAGGGGGGTTTAAAGGTACCACTTTTCGGTTTTTCGCTTAATCCTCGGAAACTATGCGTCCTAGTGACATGGCTACTATGAACCAAAAAAAGCTTATTCAATTTACTACAGGTGAGACAGTCAAGTTTTTCTATATCTTGTATAGTTTTCGCGGCATCTGCTCTAGAAGGTCTGTAATATTGTAAATTTTAATTTTATCTTACATGTTCCCATCAGAAGAAAATCGACTAAATCAACATTAAGCAAACATTATAGACATGCGGGAGCATGTTAAGCCTAGTTCCAGGGAGGGGACTGCATCGTGCGTATATTTAGACGAACTAATTGGAACCACTTTTGACTCCTCATCACTCAAAAAGCACTGTGCATTAACACTTCAAATTAGGCTCATGTGTTGAGACTTGCAAGATAAACATCAGCTTTAAATTTCATAAATATACCTCAAACGGTTATTTAGGTATTGGCGTTCAAAAATCGACATTTAGGACACTAAAATCTAACTATCACCTGTGAAATGTTAAAATTTACTGGTTTTTTATTTGTTCCTTTGTATTTACACAACTACCTATTTGGATGCCAAATTTAAACCTTCATGGTCATCTGGAAGTGGTTAGAATTTGGTCTTATAGGTCAGCCATGTAGATTTTTAGACGTCAATAAATAAAGAACCGTTTGAGGTATGTTTATGAAATTTGAAGCTGATGTTTATCTTGCAAGTCTCAACACATGAGCCAAATTTGAAGTGTTAATGCACAGTACTTTTTGAGTGATGAGGAGTCAAAAGTGGCTCCAATTGGTTCGTTTAAATATACACACGGTGCAGTCCCCTCCCTGGAACTAGGCTTAACATGCTCCCGTATGTCTAGAATATTAGCTCAATGTTAATTTAGTTGATTTTCTCCTGATGGAAACATGTAAGACAAAAATAAAATTTCCAATATTACAGACCTTCAAGAGCAGATGCCGCAAAAACTATACAAGATATAGAAAAACTTGACTGTCTCACCTGTAGCAAATTGAATAAGCTTTTTTTGGTTCATAGTAGTCATGTCACTAGGACGCATAGTTTCCGAGGATTAAGCGAAAAATCGAAAAGTGGTACCTTTAAACCCCCCTCTCCCCGCCGGCTCAAGGGCTAAGGGCGGGGATTTTTGCTACGTTCACCTCCTAACTAGTCTAAATAAAGTCCCGAAGTCAAAAATTGTGTTCCATGGATTTCCATCTATAATGCTTTATTGACTGGACTATTAATCGAATTGAGTGAATTTGTACTTGCTGGACTAGCTAGCTCGCTCTAGCTCGTGCCTAGCTCGTTCCTCAGCCTAGGGAAATCGATTCATAATCATCATCATGTCCACAGCTAATCACAGGCCTCCCCCAATGATTTCCACAAAGGCCGGTTGGCAGCACTTGGTAGCCTAGGGAAATCGATTATTGGATTATTGTAAAGCAATAGATATTTAGAAAGAAATAAAGGGGTACCGCATGGTTGCATTTTGGGACTTCTAGTTTTTTATATCTACAACATTTAAAAAAATAATCAAACTCGACTCAAACTGTAACATAGACTCAAACATGTGATTTTTAGAATTTAAAATTTGATCCAACGAGACTTAATTCTATTCATTTCAGAATATGAGCTTTAAAGCGATTAATTTTAAAGGACTTTGAAGCTAAAGTAGCTGCGCAAACATGACAGAAAGGATCGAAGCGTCATCCAACAGCAAAAAGCTCTGTCATAAGTTCCCGTTCAATATAAAAGTTCGAAAGCTCAATAGCTGCCCCGGCGGAGTTGAAGAGCTTAGGGCGAACTTTGACGGGAAGCTCTGTAGTTACAAGCTTTCAGTTAATAGTGGTTTCATCGAGAATAATTACTTTTTGAATAACTAAGAATTTGATTGGAAAATACCTATCAATTAAAACTTTATAATTATGTAGCTTACAAAGCTGAACATTATAGGAAGTAGGGCTTNATTGTCTGACACCGTGTCGAGTTGATAAACACCGTTGATTTGAGTACCAGTAGCTAGAATTTCATCACCATTGTAAATAATACAAGAATTTCTGTCAAATTTGACAACATAACCCTTTTTTGTCAAAGCACTGACAGATAATAAATTAGTACTTAAGTTAGGTACGTAATAAGTTTCACTTAGTGTCCTTACACAGTCTTTTAAACGAACCTGAACTTCACCTAAGCCCGCGGTCGATAGCATTTCACCGTTTGCAATGCTCACTTTAAAAACCTTACTACGATCGCACTTCACCATCACTTTTTCACTATTACACATGTGGTTTGTGGCCCCAGAGTCTATGTACCACACGTCACTTTTCACCTTCACGGAGAGTGCCGACAGATTAGCCTTGTTCTTCTTCCATGGCTTCTTCTGCTGTTTCCGACTCTTTGGCTCGTCCCCGGAGGTCTGCTCTTTGGACGTTGAACTCCTTTTTGGACAGTCCCGCAGCTTGTGTCCTCTGGCACCACACCCGAAGCACTTTGGGTTCTTCTGTGTAATCAGTGCCGTTTCTTCAGTTTTCTCTTCCCGTCTTTGGGTTTCCTGAAGTAATTTAGTCGAGACGACTTCCGTACTTAGCTTGGTAGATGAGTGCTCAATCGCCATGATGAGCGGGTCATAATCATCTGTGAGCCCACTCAGTATGATCACCGCAACGAGTTCGTCGTCCAGCGGCGATTCAATTTCACTCAGTTGATGTGAAATTTCTTTTATTTTGTTCAGGTAAACTTCCATTGAGCTACTATCAGATAATTTTGTATTGAAGAGACTCCGCAGCAAGCCCAATCTCCTGCTCAGACCACGTCCCTCATACGTTTTCTGTAGTATTGTCCACGCTTCGTGGGCACTTTTTGCAGTGCGTATATGCGGAATTACGGTCGGCGCCACGGACAGCGCGATGCGCGCTAAGGCCTTATTATCCTTCNTTGTCCTGTGGCTGAGCTATTAAGAGTTTTTACTCTATCATCCGCTCTCTTCAGCTGGCTTCGCCCATTAGAGTTGTCTCTAGCGAACATTTTGGAGCTTTGGTTTCACCCTATTGCCTCTTGAATATTATTACTAATAAAGTTGCGAATACATATCTCAAGAACTTCTTTATTTAAGAACCTATTTTGATACTTGAACGTTTTGAAAACTTAAAATAATTTATGAACATTTTCAATATCGGAATACGATATTGGCTTCAGTTCCGGAATTGAAATATCGGAAAAAATGTATCCGAAATTCCGGAGTTACGAAATTCCGGAATTCCGGTATTCAAGCCCTAATAGGAAGTAGTAAGAAGTCACTAGATTTAGATCTTGTCTTGAGACATCACACTAAATGTAGGTGTTACTTATATCAAAAATTGACATGTGAGTACGGATTTACACAGCATAATTATACATTTTCTATCAGATGTGTTTCGCTGAGATTTCATAAGACTATACGGCTTAATCATGACGTCCTGTGGCTGAAATGATGATGATGATGATATGGCTTAAGGTCAGATTTAAATATGTGTCACTTTATGAGTTCAATATTGTAGCTAAAAAGCCTACTTCAAATTTTAAACATCTGTGGAGTAGATAAACAAGAAAAACACATTTTTTAAACCTCGGACAGGTTTTAAATCAAACAGCTAAAAGTCTAGGAATTTGTTCCTGTTTTATCCTCTTCCTTTTCAACCATAGAAACTTGGTCGTGAAATGAAGAGATTTCTTTAGCAAAGAGCTGAGGGAAAATAAAAATGTCATCTTTATTTAAATGAGAGCAAACAAAACAACTTGCAGCGGGCCTAATTAGATAACTTGTCGACCCCTTTTATTTGGAGGCTTTTTAATTATAACTTTACGGTCTTGTTGGACAAGCCAACCTTTTTTTCAGTAAGTATAAATTAGTGTCCGACCGAAACTAGTTTTACGACCGAAACCGAAACCGAAAACGAATTTCGGCAACGGTGTCTATTTCGGCCGAAACCGAAACCGAAACTTCCTTACTTACAAGGCTCATATTTTAAGGAAAAAATAAAGAAAACGTTATTATAATCAGTCAGTCTTTATTGTTTTCTCTTTGTTCGGGACCTCTGCGTTTGAAGCAGGTGGTCTTATCACTAGACCACAGAGGCGGTTATTTTTTGGAATCGAAGGAGCATATCAGTCGAAAGTTCCGAGCTTTCGTATCGAACTTCAGTAACATCTCTTAACCAATAAATCCCTATCAACAGCTAAACGGCTCAATCTACACGCGCCTAACCGGAAACCGCGTTAAATTGGAGGACGTCTCGATCATGATAATGATACCCATCATAACAGTGGCGCCGTCACTCATAATAATGGGATTACAATCATAACAAAGTGTGATTTGTGTTTCCTTTGCTTTGTTATGTGTATTGATTTACGAGAAAGTAACAGATTTTTATTAAGTTTTATAGCTTATGATGATTGTTTCGGTAAATTACCATCATCATCATTTCAGCCACAGTAGGACGTCCACTGAACATAGGCCTCCCCCAATGACTTCCACATCGCACGGTTGGTAGCGGCCTGTATCCAGCGCATTCCTGCTACCTTTATTAGGTCGTCGGTACACCTTGTGGGTGGACGTCCCACGCTAAATTACCATCGTAGATGTTAAAATTTGTTTAATATTATACTATCACCTCAAAGGCCGTACTTAATCCTATAAAAGCACTTCATTCTAGCCCTAAAAACGATCTCTCTTTGGCTTGGATTAAGTGTTTTATTAAAGAAGTTTCGTCTTAATATATTTGCTTAATATCGTCAACCATCAATTTTGAATTCTGTAATAGGTACCTAAAACGATTCCATTTCACCAAATATAAAAAAAGTAAAAAACTACACGAATGACTATGTATCTAAATTGCGGGTACATTCACGAGTCCTCTGACACCGCTCTCCTCCCAGTGCTATTTATATCAACCATCGATCTGTCTGCATTCTGCATCCACATTTCGTATGCATGGAGCTCTGCAGGTCTTTGATATTTTACTGTCTCAAGCGCCTAACGCATTCCATTCGGGAAATTCGGCATTCGTTACAGAGCGTGCGAAACGGCCAAAATTGCTCAGAAAGTGAAGTTAATTTATGAAAAAGCAAAGATTTTAAATTAAAAAATCAAGTATAGTCTTAATTATTCAAATTAACTATACCTAAGTACAACCTATCGCATTTAATATATTTTGTGTTAAACGCTTCTAACGTATCCTGTTGAGGCCTTTATATTATGCCAAGGATTTATAAATGCCATCCGGGCACTCAGCGATTAAAAAGGCATTTTTTTTTAATTAATTGTAATGGTGAACGCGGTAAAAACCAAAGAAACTCTTCAAAATAAAAAGTTATTGTTTACTGTCTCGCGCATTCCCATCTAAATCGTTCCCAGTCTTAATTTGTCAACTGAGAAACTTGGCTTGTCCCTTTAAAAAGTGTTTACAGAGTTTAAAAGAAGTTTCCAATTGATTCAGTTACGACTTAATGCGCCTGGATTGAATTTACACAAGCTTAAAATGGTAAAACGATTTAAGCATTTTAAATTAATTAAAGAGGCGGCTTTGTGAATGGAAAGAAGTTAGTGGTTAGGGTAAGGTGGGGCACAATGAAACAAAAAAACGTTTTTTGTTCATAGAAACAAAATATCTTACTATTTTAATAAACTCTTTTCAAGAAAATTTACATTAGCTATCCCTTTAATAATCAACAATATCAAACTACATGTTTCTATAAGTAATCTTAAATTATTGGCACTTTTTCGAGATCAATTTTTTGTTTTACTGTGCCCCAGATCTGGGGTACAGTAAAACTAGGGTAGGGGTACTATGAAACAGATTGGGGCACAGTCCGTAAACACTCTTCGCACTTTGTAGTTGGGCGTATATCGCACGACCTGTCCCTCTTCTTCTCGGTTTTCCTTTTTTTTCTTGAAATACCTATACAATGTGCTAAAATTAACATTTTTCAGATTTTCTGCTTCTCATAAGTTCATATCTGCTTCATTAGGAAGCCCTATATCCGTTTTTCTTTTCCGGTTACGAACCATTGTGGTGTTTTCTAAAAACAAAAAACTTATCTTACACTGAAACATGTTTTACTGTGCCCCGTTTCACTGTACCCCATGACCCCCTTCAATAACACAAAAACATATAACATTCTTTAGGTTATAAACACCGGCCTTCGTCTGATGTCAATATTACAAGAAATATGCAAGAATTATTAAAAAAATAGCCATACATACCTTTGGTAAACAGTGTACTAATAAAATCGAAATCTTTTTCGTGAAAAAAGATACGAATTACTTTCAAAAATCAGTTTTTTTGCAAGAATTCAACAGGCAGCTTTCAAATTGAGAAAAGACAACTGCACCAAGATGGCAGTGCGAACGCTTAATAAAGCAGTGTGGCCAGTAAAAATAAATTGATAAAAAGAGGTAGAAATATTAAACTTGTTTTACTGTACCCCGTGTGTCACTGTGCCCCCTGTAACCCTACTCGTAAATTGTTTACAAATCTTTAAAAATAAGTTTTCTTAAGGGCTGATTTTTCAATCGTCGGATAACTTTTGACTGACGAATAAGTTTGGCACATTGACAGTTATAGTATGGGAAATATGTCAAAATGACAAAGTTATTCTTTAGTTAAAAGATATCTGACTATTGAAAAATCAGCCCTAACTCGAATAACGAGTATAGAATATTAATATATAGAGAATATTAATTTCTGCAAAATAGCTTCTATAGCAAAAATGTAAGATACTAGTGTTTCGCTTGATGTGCCGGGCCCGGCACCTGTACTTCAAAATTCAAATAGTGAGTTATTTATTTATATCTAGACGCTTCAGTTTAGCAAAAACAATGTTGATTTCAGTTTCAACATCTTCATTTTCAATAATACTTGCCAACAACGATTTATGAAATCTTAAGATCTCAGTAAGACATTTTGGGAAATCAAGACATCTATTTTGTGTCATGAATAACAATGGAATACCAAATCCAGGTCGTCCTTAAAAATTCCATTTCAGTTTAATATCGCTGAAATCCATCTAGGAGCTGTCGTTGCAACATGCAGTTTATAGGGCTGTCCTGCGCCCGTTTCTACAAATATCCAAATATGAACAATACAGAGTTTTGAGTTTTGGAAACGATATCGCCAGTATACAAGTGTCAAGTCAATAATACATGATAAACATTCGCGTATATACTGGATAGTGCAGCCCAAATCTTAAGGTAAAGAGGGACGTGCTCCTGCTTCTTTTCTGGGGACTAGATGACCTGATGATGAATTTGTCCCTAATCTCCACAACAGTGCTTATGATAGTGCTGATAAATGATAAATAAAAAGTGTTCGTTACAGACAAATGACTTCCACTGCTGGACAAAGGCCTCTCTCAATGATTTCCACAACGCTGCCTACGTCCATGAAAAGCGTACAGAATTATATCCCGAAGCAATTCCAATGTAGTTTCCAAAATAAAGAGTTCACCAAAATGCACAACGGGAAATGGTAGGCACGAGTAAATATGCATAAGTCACAAGCGAGCTGGACAAAGCGAACAAAACGCTTTTGGCTAGCTGACCGCTGGCTGAAAATGCGGAATATTTACTTTATAACATGCAGATTTTAAAGTTTCGGACATTGGCCATAGAGTAAACAATTGTGCAGTAACTACACTCTATGCTATTTTTATAATAAACTTTTGAAAATGTGCGCGGTGGTGGACTATAAAGTTCGAGATGATAAG